CAGCAGGAAAGGGATTTAACGTCTGACACAGGTATTTAACATTTGAGTTATGTGTTTGCCTGAGATACTTGTTTTGGGAGGAAGGACTGCAAGAAGATCAAAGATCATCAAAGCAACTGAATGATTACGTGGGGAAACCAACTCTACCACTCATAGAGAACTTTACACAGATTATCACTCACTATGTTCTTCATTTTCCATGTGCCTGTTCTGAGACCCTGGGATCCAAGCTGCAGCAGTAGTTCAGATTTGCAGCTGTCATACAAATTCACATTCAAAGCGTAGCTCTCATTAAAGGTTTATCAACGCAAAGAACATTGAAAAGCAGATACTGAGCATTTCAGTTTGGACACCTTGAGATTTCAGTGCTGTGCTTATTCAGTGACAGAGAATTCTATCTCCTCACATCAAAGTGATCTTATGAAAATCAAGTAACCGTGATGGAGTCAGACACACTATGCTATTGAGTATCAGAGAATGGTCACAAGTAAGTTACAAAATATGTCCTCGAAGTACAAATTTGTAAGGCAAATATAGTGAGGGACTGCTAGCTAAGCAAATGTGGGGGGAAAAGTTTTGGCGATCATTAAAACAACCCTTTCCTGACTGAACCAGGCCAGGAAGGTGCATCTAAAACTACACATATTGCTTACAACCCCCAACCATCATACATACAAAATAGTAGGCTGGCACTCTCCAGTTACAATACCCAGCTTTGCAAACTTACTCTTTTTATGTCATTTCTATGCTGTTTTTAAACAGACAAAAGATTGCTGAAGGACCACAGGTGCAAATTGCAGAAAAGACAGTAGGATTAAGTAGGAACTGATTAAGCTATCAAGTTACATACACTCAGTTACACCTGAGGTTTCACTTCAGTGAAGTCCACACTAAAGGGACACACTGATCTTTTTACTGGCAGTGTAGTGTCACTGGCAAAGGGAAGTTCATTTGAACACACAAGCCTATTGCTGAGGATCAGAAATCTATTTAAAATAAAGAATGAAAGAAATTATTTTAAGACCTTGGCTTAAAAAAAAAAATTGAGAGAACTGTTTGATCTGGAAAAAACCTGCTTACAAAGTAGTTACACTGGAAATGCAGTTAAGTTCAGATAAGCGTAAACTTCAGCAGAAAAGGGAACGTACTTAGATTTTATAAGATAAAACTAGTTTGCAAACACCACAAATCTGCCTTCTCTCTCCTTTCTACTGTCCAGTTTTTTGGAAATAAATATAAGCACAAACAGAAGAAACCACAAACAACTAAAGAGTTTCAGGAAACTAGAGCTGTCGTATCTGAAAGAATCACAGAAGTCAGGAAATACAAATATCAAAGATCAGATAGCAACATTGACTCAGCTGTGTCACATGTATGTTTTCTTTTACTCTGGTCTTAAGTTCACAACTTAACAAATTGCTATGGACATCATTATATTTATGCCACAAAATACACAGGATGTGCACTGTGGTTAAGCTGACATGTTAAAAGCTTAATACTTGCGTTTTCTGATTTTGTGCTATTTTAAGTGAGCAAACAAGAAACTGCACAATTCTCAAATGAATTAAGAAATATCAAGATTATTTGAGACTGTTCACTAAAGCCTACATCACGATAGCAAGGGAAGTAAGCGTTCAGGATAATTTAGTCGCATTCTTCAGCAAAAATGTATTTTCAACACTGCACTGATTTGGAAAAAGATGGTGTTTCCAGAATCCTGTGTGATTAGAATATTCCTTCACTAGAAAAGTTTGGATGCTACACTGTCTTCAAGAACAAAAGTCACACAAGAGTAAAGGCTCTATCATTCACATCTAATCCTCAATAAGATTTGTAGAACAGGGAAAAATGGCTCAAAATCTTCTCAACATGTGCTTTTGTGACTTTCCTGGGAAAATGCTGTTTTAACATTTTGACTACGTAAGAATAATGCATACAATCTCACTGATCTCGTACACAGTATAATCTATAAAGCTTCAGATACTATTTTTTTAATGTAAGAATTCAGATTCTTAATTTCATGTACCGGAGCCCTCTCCCTTTATTTTTCTTTGCCTGTAACATGAGAATATCACTGTTAATCTACAGAAATAGCTGAAGCATTCAACAATACCTGAGTAAGAGCCATGAGCAGTTTAGATGCATTGGCTCAGCACAACAGTATGTTTCCAATAAGGCAATGAGAAAAACCCAGTTAACTTCTGGCCAAAAAATTACTGGCATACTTAAGTTCAGAATTCACTTTCTAACTTTTTGCTTTTTGGGATATATTTTGAAAAGGCGGTTTCAGACAAGTTTCTACAATTGACATCCCCTATTGACGGTCAGTCATTACTGCAATGTCTTTAGTCCTCCTTACTATGATTCTGTTACTATGAACTTCTCTTAGTATTACTATGAAGCATGTACCCTTGAAGATGCTCAAAAGATACTGACTAGACAAGACCCTGAGCAACATGCTGTAAATTGGCCCTATTTTGAACAGGCAGTTGGACCAGATCACCTCCATAGGTGTCTCTCAACCTGTATCATTCTGTGATACAAGTTTTTATTTCCTTTTTTCAACATTCTCTTTTTGTCTTGGACAGAATCTTTGAGGCTACAGAAAACAAGAAAAAAAAATTCTGCACAATCACAAAATATTGGTCAAATATTTCAATTTCTCACAACGTTCTTTTAGGTATACACAGCCGGTTGAAATGCAGGAGCTGAAATACAGTGACAAGGATATTAGCAAGGTATGGTACAATACCTTCCTCTTGCTGGCTGCAATGACTGCAGGAAGCCATCGACTCTCTCTAGTGTCCATTAGGAGGAAAACAACATCATGAGCATCAATAAGCTCTTCGAGTTTAGCCACATCCTTCCGAGCCTGTGCCATTGTTACTTCAGAAAAATTCACTGGGTGGCCTGGCATAGGGATGCTCATGTTATAGCCTTCTGAACTCTAGACAGAGACAGACAGAAAACAACACATTAAGCAGATAACCTTGTGACTAAATAGAATTATTATGAAGTTCAATACAAAATCGTAGAGTACGAATTCAATTACTGCCTGGCAGAAGGGCAACTTTATTCTTTACTTCTCTCTGTATATCAGTGCTGTGCACTACAGCACAGTGCTAAAGCTTGAGGGGATGGCAGTCTCAGCTGCTGTATTTATGCAGAACAGAGCAGCTCAATGCAAACACACTAGTTTGGGTCAGGAGAGCAGACCAAACCTGTACAGGTGGCTCGGTGCCTGAACTGACAAGCCCAGTCTCTCAGGTCTTATTAGGTCTGGCAAACCACTACAAGAAGATAGCTGCACTGCTCCTAATCCCAGAGGTAACAAACATCACTATAAAACCAAGCAGACAGATCTTACATATGATTATGATCATGCTGTTAAACTCAGATACAGTCACTTCACACACAACATTAAGGGGACATAGTTTATATTTCTGATATTGAATATTGACTCGATTACAGTAAGACAGATGCGAAGTACCACACATTCTCCTCTTTGTTTTCAATTCTTTACAAGAAGAACAATAGTCTCTAATGATTTTCATGTAATTCGACCAGCCATATGTGAACTTGATATAGAAGAAAATCACTTCTGAGACTTGTTACTCCAGTGCTTGGATGTCTGGAGGCCTGCACTATGCAGATGCTGAAAGAGCCTGTTGTTTTTATTGCGGAAACATATGCCTCTTCTAACTCCATATTTGGGCGAGGCACATTGAGCAGAAAATGGCTGAAGAGCCAAATAAGCATATACAATGCATATACAATGCAAACAATTAACTCGCTCATTTGGAAATACGTTAACACAATCTGCCAGCCATCTGCTGTAAGAGAATAATGGATCCTTCATATATGTTACAGAAGCACAGGCCTTGCCAAAGTCTCCTTGCTTGTCACTGTGCTATAAGCAACTCACAATTCGAAAGCCAAAATTTAAAAGCTTGATGAACCTAACAAAATTACACGGTAAGAGAGGAAAGAAATGTGCTTTTGTATAGACCAATTACATGTACAACTCATAAATCCACGTGAGCTAAATAACCAGATGGGTGAAGTATACATTCTATAAATCATAAATATCCCTCAAGATAAAAAGAAATAAACACATATAGCAGCTTGGGGAAATTAAGTTGGGTAATATCTGCATTAACCATACCAAAGGAGGTACTTTATTTTATTCCCCCCCTTCTTCCTTCCCATCCCTCTGCCACCCCCAAGGGGAAAAACAGAGTCCACAGTGATCTAGTGTGCAGTTAACAGGGCAGCTCCACTGCGTCCCAGTGAGGACAGTCTGGGTTCTGCATCACCAGCACAGACATTGCACAATTACTGGAGGAGGTTTTACCTTCACTGTTATTATCTCCTCCAAAAAGCTGAGGCAGGAACACAAAACTTAATCCATACTGTATATGACTAATGTATTTAGGGATAACTTGTCAAGCCCCCACTTGCATACAAGTGCTGATTTATTAGATAAGTCAAACTGACACTGTTGGTGACGTGAAGGTCAGTTTTTGTTCAAAAAAAATAAAATGAACAAGTAAACAAATAAGTTGAACACCAGCTGCACAGAAATATGGTAACAAGGTTTGTAAAATACTAAAACCTTACCAGAATTCAGAAAAACAACTATCCCGTGACTGTAGCTGTAGGAATATATAAGAAATACTAAAACCTTACCAGAATTCAGAAAAAAAACTATCCAGTGACTGTAGCTGTAGGAATATATAAAAGTCTAACAGTGTCATTAGCTTCAATTTTAATTGAATAATTGGTCCTTGAAAAAAAGACACCAGTCACTAGCAAAACTGGCTGAGGGACACTTTTGCAGCCAAGTGCTGGCAAAAAGAACTAAAAGGGAACTTTGCGATGGCACATGCATAGTATTTTAAGGAGGAGTAAATGTTCATATACCCCCAAAGACTTATCTCATTCATTCCACAGAATTCAAAAATCTCAGGGAGTCTCTACGTGACAAAAAGAATTTTGCTTGACTGCTCACAAAAAGGCTTACATTTTAAGACCAGAACCTTCATACTAACAAAAGATCTAAAATGCCTCCAAATTATCCAAAACTAAATAATACTTAGTTACCATCTCAAAGTATTAGAATCATGTACTTACTAAAAATTAGGGACTTTATGTTGACATGTGCAAAATCGTAAGAGACAATGTACTTTTCAACAGTTCCACTGACGGCTGACCAAAGCTGTGCTTGAGGCTCCAGTGCTTTTGGGGAGTTTTTTGGTTGTTTTTTTTAGTTTTGTCTGTGAGGGTTTTTTAAGCAAACAGACATCAAACTCTTGCAGTTTGTGGTGCTACCATAACCTTCTCTCTCATTTTTATTCCTATTTCTATTAACTTTCTGCATTTTTTGTTAAACCATGGCTCAGATCACTTAGAAGATATCTGTGCTCAATATATTAAACCTGAGCAGAAGCATGCCATGGGTAGGTACGCAAAAAAATAAACAATGTGATGCTACCATCATTAAATTGTTCTATTGGAAATACCTACATAAAGTGGCCCCCCATGCCGTATAGTACAAAGGATGATAAAATGCTGAATACACTGGAGTTCTATGCCTGACTACTTCAGGAAATGATTGTATACAAGTCAATAAAGTTAAATTCCACAGCAGCTATATGAATGACTCTGTGCATTACCTACTTGTAATGAAAGGCTGTGAATCCATAAATTCTGCTATTTCCGAGTCCTCCCTTCTTTTTTATTACAAAACTCTAAGCTACAGTTAATGATAATCTTAGAAGTGGAATGAAACAAATCAAAGCTCCTTGCCAAAGCATTCCTTCTTGTTTCATTTGCAATGATGAGGTGGTTACTCTTCCAACTAGAAAGGATGTAAAATTCAAAAAATAAAAGAGAATTCACATAGAGCAGTCAAGCATTTCGAAGTCAATCAGGAGAAACTGCATTTTCTGTGCAAAATATTACTCACACTGAAAACAAAGAAAGTAAATTAGACTGCAAGTGAATCGCACAGAAACGTAAAACCAAATTTTCAGAAATGCCTTCAGAACCAGCATTACTGCTTGGATTCCCACGGGCTTGAAAGGACTGTCTGCATTTCCAAACACCGAGAGACAACTTGGGCTACTCCTTCAGTATGAGAGAAACGAGCAGGGTCAAAATCCAGGACAACTAATCTTTTTATTCAAAGACACTTAGACTGATAAATATGGGTTTTGGTAACAAGCAACAGTGCAGTCTGCAGTAACACATGCAGCTCTATTTTAAGAAGTCTAACGAAATCAGCTGGGTTATAAAAATCTCTAGCTACAGTAGCTTCACTGTCCGAATTGTCCCAAAGCACTGAGACTTTACCCAGGCTAATTAAAGACTTACTGCATGTGCTTGGCCTGCTGCTTAAAGCTCACCACTCTCATATGCTGTCAGCATGATATTAACTGTTTGAACCACAATTTTTACTGTAAGCCCTGTTAATTCTTGTTAACACTAACGTGTTGTTTCTCTGTATATTTACCAATGGTCAAACATGATACCTCTTCTCCGCAAATTCCACTGCAGAAATGAGTCTGACTGAAAAATATATTAGAAGCATTCTATCATAAGGGTACACAGGATCTGTGCAACTGCTTTCTCCTCACTTGTGCCACAAAGCTATGGAATCAGCTTTGAGTCCCACTGAAGGCTGATCAGTATGTGACTCACCCATGGCACAAGGAAACAACAGAAAATGTGTAACATTGATGGGCATAACATGCTAAGAAAACAGTGGTAGATGCAGAACATTGAGGTGTGTAGTAGAGGAAAAATTCCTTACATACAGTACGAGTTGTACATTGTATTGCTATTACTGAACAGGAAAATTGTTTTTTTCTTATGTATACCACATGTCTTAATACTTATTAACACAGGCTCATTAAAGCATTGTTACTGGTTCCCTCCTATGACTGGAAGTTCCTCTCCAGGTTAAATGGGTAAGATACTGTTTGCTAGCTGAGCTCTGATAACTATAGTTACCAATTCTAAGACAGTCTCATTTCCAAAGCTACAAACAGTTGAGTCACTTCTATCACATGCCAAACGAGTATAAAAAAAAATTTTGTTCATGATAAAGTAAGCTGAGCATGTGTCTATTCTGAAATTATAGGCCATATCAATTCTTCTCCCAAATGAAGGATGAAACTGAGAGAACTGCAAATATATATACATATTTTTTTAAATCTACTTTTTTTCAGCATTGAAAATCAGGTGTATTTGTGCCCTTGATAACATTCATATGATACCCATCCCTGGAGTCAAAGAGGATAAAGACTGCCACTGGTGGGCCTTTCACCATAAAGCTTCTAAAACAGCGTAAAAATTAATTCCTCTCTTTGTTCCCTTTCAACTACTTCATTCTGACAGGAAGCTGTTACCATCAGATTCCCCAAAAGAGGAGGACTTTGGTCAAAGGCCAACATGGATATCTTCTCCAGGCTGCTATGAACTACTTCCCTTTCCTGGATCTGATTCAGTTTGCTTAGTTCTTGAAGAAAACAAAAGCAGACAAGAAGATTCTCTTACATCATCCTAATACTCTGTATGACACTTATATGCAAAGCAAGTTTCTAATCAATACTTGCTGCTATTAAGTTATGGCAAAACCAACAGAAAAATCAACTTTCAGTTTTAGAAGTAAAATTTTTTTCTGTTACTTGTACTACGCTACTGATCATTCGTAGAACAAAATTTCCATCTACAGCAACCTTGAGAACATTAGATCATTTCATTCCAACAGCAGCATAACCAGTTAATCTGCTTCTCACGTAGAAAATCGGCTTAAATTAAGATTGCAAATTTTGGGCGTAAAACATAACAGGGAATCTCAACAATATATTTATTACTTCCTTCAAGATCTTCTGCTCCCGTAATAGACAACTAATATGTATAAACTCACATTTAAGAGCAGAGTGGAAAAACACAGTATTAAAAGCAGCCACTACTGAAAGTTCCTTAAGACATACTAGACAGAAAAATGAGCTACAAGAGGATTCAGATGATCCTTAATTATATTTCACTATTACAAATATTGTCTCAAAGTTTAACAGGTACGGAGTCTTGAAGTAAAACATTTATAGATTTGTCAGTAACCATTGTAACACCTGTGTAGTATTTTTCCCCACTCATAATGCTGCTTAATTAGTAGAACTTGGAATTAAGTCACTGGTTCTCTTCCAAGGCACATACTAACACATTTTTAAATACTGATCTTACCACTCCTGGGAAGATTTTCTGCAGCCTGTCTGCTGCTGCAAGTGCTTTAGGCTTCCCACCACTAAGACAGTCTTCAAATTCATACAGTGGCTGTCGTACTGGGTTGGAGTAGGAGATCTTTGCATTGTCCACAAACGTAATCTTCCTGACTCCCCAACCCTAAACAAAAACATAACTTAAGTAATGATAAGTACAATGGGCTTAGCCATATACTTTTAAGTAATGCCAGAAAATCAAGATGACTTATGTCCAATTTTTCTAGAAAGATCAAGCTACAAAAGCTTCTGAAGCTATTCACAGCAAGAACCTTGTACTTGCACTGAATTAAGAGAACGTAACATTTGGTCTGTCCAAATATATCTTTTAGCAGTAATCCCTCAAAACCCTACTGAATTCAGCGGGATGTGGTAAACATCCCTGAATGTAAGTATCAGCACAGTTACTTACTTCAAGTTCTTCACTGTGAATTTGATCACTTTAGCTTGATAATTATTTGTTCTACAAATTCTTGATCAATCTTTTAATGTAAATTCTTTACTGTAAATTCAAAACAAATTATTATTGTGCTAAAGGTCTCTTACTACCTGCTATTCTACTATAGGCAGAACTTCAAGCTATTTCCATTGGCTACAGATCTTACCTCTTCCCTGCAATTTATAACATCTACTAACATGTATTACATGTACATCAAAACAGAGGAATACAACTTTTCTCTTAAGCGCCATGGCAGCTGCTAAAAAAAAAAAAAATCATATGGAATTTATGAGAAACAGCAGATTATTTTTAAGATTAAGTCACAACTTACCATCAAAGTCCTTGCAACACTACAACCCAGTGTACCAGCTCCTAGCAGCAAACACTTGGCAGACACAATTTTTTCCAAATCAAGAGTAGGCACCAACCGCCAGCACATCAATTTCAAATTAAGATCCACTGATGATTCTGCTAACCTATACCATGAAATAAATAGCAACACACCTCTGAATATTCTTGTATTTCTCCAACAATTACTTGTAATTAAATTACTTGTAATAAAATTACTTTTATTTCAGCTGAAGAAGTTCAATACTTTTTTTTTTTTTTTTTTAAGGAGAGAAAGAATTCAGTAATTGAACATACAGGAAAAACAAAGTCCCACAAGCATACTTCCATCTAATAACACAGTGCATCACAAGGGGATTGGAAAAAAAAATGGGTTTCTGCATCCAGCTACATCTATCCTCAACATGAAGTATTACACTTGCCCTCTAAGGAATGGAGTCAGTTCTTTGTGGAAGGTTTAGAAGGAAAATGAGGTAGGAAATCCATACTCAACCTAATGTCAGATTTTTGTATTCATCAGAACACAGGATGTTAAAACTCTCATCGAGTCAGGCCATCGCAAATCATCCATAGAGTAATAACTGGCACAGGAAAATGTCAGAAGAAAAAAAAAAATCCATCCAGAGCATGACTATCTCATTCACTCTCCTGTTTTCTCTTTCCAAAGGAGTATATTGCTTCACACAGAACAGTAATGCTTATCCCTCTACTTCCTTGCACACAACTCCTTAAAATTCATTTGCCTTTCTTGTCTTCAAATCAGATACACATATAAGTTCTCAGATTCCTGAGTTTCATTCCCTTATACATCATAAACGTAATTTTTGCAGTATTTCAGTAAATTTTTGTCAAATGAGGATTTAATTGCCAAGGCTGGCATATTACCAACAGTCTCTAAGGGAAATAACAGAAATTAGCATGCATACAAGTAAAGAAGGTCAAGTTACATTTACTTAGAGAATCAGATGAACCTTCTCTAATGTCTATGAACATACTCTGAATTGCATTTTTATTGCAAGATAAAAATGGCTTAGCTTGATAGCTAAAATATGTTAACCTAAATCATTAGATCAACGCTCTCCTACAATGTTGCAAAGCCAAGAACACACACGTAGTCAGTGAAAGCAGATGAGCCAATAGGCTGTTTTCAATCCACTGCCCATACATTACGTGCAGAACGATAAAAACTACTAAGTCATGTTTCCTGAGCTCTTTCCTGTCACACCCTAACAATTCCAAAAGGCTGAACTTTTCTCCACGCTTATTTTTGTTACATTTAACAACTTGCAGGTTATAGAATTCAATGAAAACCACAGGCCTGTAACATCATGACCTACATTCCACTCAGTTTTAAATGTAATGCATTTGAAATTTTAAGCTAAGAGTCAAAAGTTGCAAACACTCCTGCTGCATGCAGTCCACTCTGCTCTACTAAGGTCCTGACCTCCAATAGGACTGTCCAAAGTACATACAGTATATGTGACACTGTATATTCTCACCTAACAGAGACAAATAGTCCTCGCATTTCACATTTCAATTTGCTATGGCTTGAGCCCAATTACAGAAAACTACAGAAATTTAAAAGATAATAAACAAACCTTTTCGGATCCATGCATTCACTGAGATTCACCATCCTTGGACCCATGCCTCCCTTTTGGTTTTTCTCCCATCCAACAGCTTTTGGACAATCTGTTTGGCATATGAAAATAAAATTACAAAAAGGAATAAAGAATGAAAGCCTTAATATCACAGGATAGAAAAAAGAAATTCTGTTGGATTTAACCTTGTTGGAATAAACCAAATTCTAAGCCTGTAAGTAAATAATCTGTATCTTAACGACCTAGTATACATTGCTATGCAAATTTTGCTGTTTTACATCCAAGTGCTTCTTGGAGAAGTGCTTTACTCTCAGGTGTCTGATGTGCTGCTTTTGCCTGTTCAGCTTGCTTCAAACCTAGGACAGAGATGGCATCAAGCCTCTGGATCTTTAATGTAAGACAGACTGCTAAGTTCAGAACTCAGCAAATTCATAATTCAGAGCTCAGTAAATTATGCCAAGTTCAAGCACTTCTTCATGTTTCCTAGACCCAATCTGTAAATTCAGTAGAGAATTACATATCCTAATTATATAATAATTAAACAATTCACAACAGTGATACGTAAAGTATTCAGAACTTCTTGAGTGAGGTAAAGAAATTTTGTGATACTATCCTGTACACAGAAATTAAGTCTGAGTTTATGTTTTAACAAGTTTATTGCTTTAAAATACATCTGCCTTCCTCACTATGGGATTGAGGAAACAATTACACTCTGTAGCAGGCTTCTGCCATTTTGAAAATAGAAAGTTTGCATCACAAATTCACTATCACAAGCTTTTTTTCTAACTAAGAGACTACGTATAAATTTAACAAGGAAAAAAGAGACTCCTTGCTAATTGCTTGGTTTTTGTTTTCCAGATGACACCAGGAGGACTTTTTTTTTAAAAAATTTGAAACATGATTTAAGGAGGAAAAAATTTAAAAAGAATATGCTCTCTTCTTTCTTTTCTGAAGAAGGAACCATTTCCTTTATAGACATTTAAGGGAAATATAAACAATTTAAAATAAGTTAGCATAAGCAATAATTTGGTAGTATTTATTTTTTCCATCTTCACAGTGATTGAGGAGTGAGAAGAAAAAAAACTGAAAATAATTTCATTTTTTTAAAATGGATTACCTGGGCCAAGGGCTCTTTCTGGAAGTTTTATTTCAAAGATAATGCTGTGTGTTATGTCTCTCACCCCTTGCATGGTCCTATCTCTGAAGCAGAGCACTTCAACTGACTGGAGAATACTGCCCCTGCCATTTAAAAAAAAAGATAGAGAGACCCAATTTTCTATAATACTTTAAATGATACTTTTTTCCAAATGCCAGAGTTTAAAACTACGTCCTGTCTTCCCAACTTCTACCCAACAAAAAATTCAAGAAGGTACACTACAAGAAAACCTAAGCGTATTTAATTTTCAAAATTTAGGTCTGCTATTACTTGGCACTAATTAATTATATAAAATCATAGAATACTTTAAACAAGATTTGAAACAGCTAGAGGGTATTGGCAGGGTCTGAAGCGTGTATTTCCATGTACATGCATGCCTGTGAGGATTAGGAATAATAGGAACTTGTGACTGACAGAAGTAAAAAAACAGAGTAATATGCAAAATCAGAATCATTGAAGGCGAGTCATGTCAAGGTTAACAGTTAAATCTCAGGTAGGTGATACGAGTAAAGTGCCACGGGGAGAAAATGCTTAACTTGATATCAATAAACCAATAAATAATCTTTGTGGGAAAGAATAAAATAGATACCATTTGTGGGCTGCCAGGATCAGGAAATTTCTCAGTGGCCATCCTGGATAGTGGGATAAATTACATGGATCATAAACTCCAACTGTCACCTGCAAATAAAATCGCTCTAAATGAGAAGTCATCTATCCATACTGATATTCAGTTCACAGTAAAAGTCATCTGGCATTTTTAAAATAAGACTTCTGGTCAGAGAAGGCTTACACACACATTTTATACATTTACAAATGTTTAATACATGGTCACACTAGATTTCAGTCAAGCATTTGCCGGGGCTTTGAGATTTGTTCAGTTTAGCGTCTTTATGGACATTCACTTTTCACTACACTATGTGCAGCACCTTCCTCACCCTCCTTAAACACACCATTATGAGAAGCCAAACAACTGAAGCCTTGCTCTCAAAACAAAATTCTGTATTGATTTTGGGATGATCAAAAAATAAAAGGGGACAGGACAGTGAGACATCGAGTCAAAGGAAAAAACAAAAATCATTTGTAAAACCAACCTTCAAGACAGCATCTAAATAAGCATTTGCCGGGGCTTTGAGATTTGTTCAGTTTAGCGTCTTTATGGACATTCACTTTTCACTACACTATGTGCAGCACCTTCCTCACCCTCCTTAAACACACCATTATGAGAAGCCAAACAACTGAAGCCTTGCTCTCAAAACAAAATTCTGTATTGATTTTGGGATGATCAAAAAATAAAAGGGGACAGGACAGTGAGACATCAAGTCAAAGGAAAAAACATAAAAATCATTTGCAAAACCAACCTTCAAGACAGAATCTAAATAAAGGAACTGGACATTCCGTCTCATGTTCAAGCAATGTAATACCATGTTCATAATTCATGCATCTAAACTAGGAACTTGCTTCACAGTCAATGCAGAATCAAAACGCATCCAGAGATTAGAAAGTTGCCACTGCCTACCTTTAGTTATGCTGAAAATCTGAACTCGGCCACCACTACTGATACCTGTGTCTCTCATATCTACGGATCTCTTTTTTCCTGCTTCTTTGCCTACAGACAGGCTTAGAGTGTCAGCTCTACCACATCAGGGAGGTGTCCCTAGCCTGAAATGCAGATGAGCCAACCCAGTGGATGCGGACAGGAGAAACAGGGGCCCACTCCGCATCCCTCCTCCCAGCCATACACTGCTGCTGCTTTGCCACTGCTGACTCAAGCAGGCATAAGACCCCTAGTAAGCTGATTCAATTTCATCAACTAGCAGAAAATTAACTCAGCAACAGCAAAACCACATTCTTCTTTCAGGGGAGCAAGTTTATTTGGCTCATTGAAACTCTACAGGCAGCACTGATGCAATAAATCTTACCCGACAGGTCTAAAAGTTTGGCACTTCCCTCCAAAGTGAATGTTAATGAAGAAATATATTCCAGATGATTACAGATTTCTCTTATATTGAGAATGTCCCTATCTAATTAAGTATACACCTATCTGTGACCCATTATTGTAGTTAGACTATCATTTAAAATCTCAACCTTCACATTCCTATTTTACAAAAAACAACTGCGGACCTAGGTTTTAATTTCAGAAAAACAAATTTGGAAAAGCAAAAACATAATTGAAGATCAAGTATTATAAAACAGAACTAAATTACTTCTATAAGGTGTGACAAGACCTCCTTAAAAAAAAAAAGTCTTTTCACACTTATAAGCGCTTCACCATAACTCAGTTTTGTTCCCTAACACTTCAGTGACATGCAAGATTTTAAAAAGTTTGAATTTCACCAAAAATACAGTAAAGCATTCAGAAGGCCTAGCAAAGTTTAGCAGCTGAGCAACATGATCCAAACCAGAATTCAATGTTCACAAACACAAGTCAACCAAGCCAGTCAACTCTTGCTGTGATGACATCTGCTTCATGTATCATTATAATTCTTCCCTAACTGAAAGCAATGGCAGTACTCACTTTACACTCACAGACATACATGATCTCTGCATTTAACAAGAAGATATAGCCCAGCCTCTTCTGGTGCACAATCCATCGGTCTTCCAAAATTACAAGGCATTTACCTTGAACATTCTTCAGATACAGATTCCCAGCAATTTTTATCCAAAGCTTTCATGTTATAACATGTACATGTGGCAAAACACACATTGAAAGTTGAAAAATCAACTCCCATAACTCTGATTACTGTTACCACAACCAACAAATATAAAAAGTATTGAGTACCAATTTTTAGTACACAAACAATAAAAGAAGTGTTTTGCATTATTATGGCATTGTAGGTAAAGTAGTTGGAAAACTGTAATTGTTATGCTGTTTCACAAACTTATGTCGTTTCTGCTTTGATAATGAGGAAATCAGAGCATGAAGAACTTTGTTTTCAAGCTGACCATTAATCTGATGTAACTGGGCTTTTGCGTAAGAACTAGAGCCGCTTAACTCGGCACAAAAATCAATCCGAGTTGCTGGTCTTCAGCTATTCACCCAGGCTATTCATTGGCTAACCATTGTGCCCAGCTCAGTATTACAGACATTTTGAAACCATTTGTAAATTAAACATTTGCAGGCTATAAAAAGATGTAAAATTCTCATTACCTTTCCCCCTTGGTCTTGGAAGAAACCATCCCACCTTTTTGGTAGAGATATCACAACAGAATTGTCATGATACTTGATTAAAAAATAAGGCAAGGCTGTAACACCCTCTTCCTGGCAAAGTTCATCATATGCCTTCTGAAGTGCTTGAATCTAAAAGCAAAAAACCAACTGTAACCAATAGTTCTAACAATCTCATACAGAACCACAGAAAGTGTTTTAGCATTTGGAAAGGCTCACCCAAATAATCTTAGAATATAGCATATTCAGAAGTTTTAAAGCCCACTGTGACCACAATAACAGATCAAAAATTCGGTTGCTAAAATAGCATTTGTCAATGCAAATTTTAAATGGGGGCATTTCTATTGCTGCTGCAAACTGATCTCTACCAATAGATATTAAAACAAGATAAAAATCTCATTCTGATAGTCACAGCAGCTTTATAACAAAACAAATCTGTCCCTCTATTATTAGCAAAAGAACAGAGCCCCATTCAATATATTTTGTTAAACGTATTTTCAGTGTTTAGTTGAAACTCTGTCTTTGGATCATCACAGGTATTTTTACACTATTTATTACTACAGAACTAATGAGGGTCTTCTGAGAAGGGAACTAAACATTTTCACTGGAAAAAAAACAAAACCTGTTTTTCATTGATTATTATGCCATTAAAAAGCCATTCAAGGTTTTGCATTAACTCCTGTCAAAGCAAAAAGGAACATGGGCAACTTGACTTATTTTGTTCTTTTGCATTCTAATATTAAAGAAACTACAAAAAATTGTTAACTTTTCTCCTAAAAAAATAATCTTCCCTATCCAGTTCTTTTTCTTGTCCAATCATGCATTTTATTAACAATTATGTAAACTGCTAATGATTTAGCTCTCCCAGGGGATGCCCCCTTTAAAAATGTTTCATTAAAATATAATGAGTTTCAAAAACATAGCTATATATTCAATAAGCTGTATATAAAAATTAAAATGAACATAGCCACCTCTTCAATAATTGTTTGCCACATCTGCATCTAAATAAATAAAGCTGAAGTGATGTTAAGCTGAGAGATTTTATACAGCAACAACAAAAAAAGAGGTAAACAAAAAACCCACATGGCAATAAAAGAGTGAAGATTTTAAGAAGTTAGATTCTCAAATTAATTCAGTATGCACTAACAAAAATCTTACAGTTTACAGCCCAGAAAACTGCTTAGTGCTACAGACTTCGTAACATTTAGTATGTTGAATACCTGATTTAATGGGAATCTATCACCAAGACACACCGGTTTATGAATTATATGTATTCCATCAGGGAAGCAGAGAGCAGGGTAGCAAAACCAGTAATAAAAATGATACTTTTTTAAATCCTAGAAAAACAATTTTTGAAAAATTAGATAACAAACATGTAAATCAAAGTAAATTACAGTTTGGAATACTAATTGTAATTGATGGTTGATGATACTAACCACAATTCTCTTTCCTTCACAAGGCATTGCGTCATGATTTTAGAAAATAATGAAAAAAATACTAGAAGACTTCCCTTCTCTGTATATGTTTCTATTTAAGATTTAAACAGACAATGTGTGTACAATACTTCAGTTTTTGTTAGCTGGAACATTATTTATATAAACATTCAATTTGTTAAACACGGAACAGTTGCTTTACTTTTACTCATTTCTATAAGACCACCAGATAATCTTATACATTTGTAGAAAAGAATACGAGATGCTACCAGCACTTTTTAAAGAATACATACTCAAATATTTTATATCTGTACATGAGAATGGCTTATTAGGTTTTTTTTAAATATTTTCAGACATTTTAAGATGTCTGAGAACGATCATGATAACAATATGCTAATTCTAACACAGTATTCTCCTAAAAAGGAACTATTTCATCATTTCCACTACAATGCTTTATGTATGAGACACATTATCATTACTCACTGCAAAGGTCAGCAGCAGAAACCTGTTCAAGAGCATAGGGTTTTCAAGAGCAGCTCCAGATTTTATTGATTCCCATATCTGTCATTGATTGTGGGGACAAGAAGAGAAAGGGTAGAGAAACAAAAGGTAGCTTGAGAACAGTTGCAGAAATCTAATTCTTCCAGCTACCTTAAAAATACTGAAATTAACACTCCCAGTAATCCACGGTGATCTTTTCCTAACTGATCTCACCCATACTATCATCTATGCTAAAATGATTCTAAAGGTAGATATGCACTCTCTAACACAAAAAATATGGAAGCTGGGGAACAAGAGGAGCATTTGTTCATGAATCAGATATGGAGCATCGAACGAAACAAAACAAACATCAGCAGCAACAGTCCCTCGTGTACATGAGCTATTAACACTAGCACAAGATGGAACATACTGTGATATTAATATAGGCTTTTATTGCACTCCCATCTCTTTCATTCACATGGTCAATAGGTACTAGAGATGTGAATAAGCTACTAGGAAATTTGACCAAAAAAAATGGAGACAAGAAGGCAGTAAACTGCATGTTGGTGAGAAATGAAGCTATAATACTTGTATGAGGCATACTTCTTTGACCTTTGTCTTATAAATAAATAAATAAATAAAAAATACAAGAGCGAATAAAGCATTCTGACATTTCCAGTTTCCCTAAAGGTAGATATTGCATCATACCTACCACTGGCAGGGAAGCACTAGGCCTGGAACACAAAAAATTCATAGCATTGAGTGGAAGATAACGCTTGAAAACTTTGTTACTCAAGGCCAGCAGGCAGACAGTCAATTTAATTACAGGAATCAAGGACTGGTCAAAGTGAAGCATCTCAAAAAGAAAAAGGTTGCACTAGCTTGATTTCCACTTCTCCAAGCTGTGACATTTAATTTAGTTTCAGTGCGAGCAGACTAGCCCCTTCCTTTGACAGCCATCTTTTTCTTGCTTTATCTCAGTCTTCTAGCTGTTGTGCAGCTTCCCCATCACCGTCACACAGATGTATTGCAATAATCTAACGATTGTACCAAGCACTTGCTGGTTTCTGGGCATCAAGACAAATTTTAAAAGTGTTGTCTACAGGACTCAAGTCACTGGCAGCTCCAGTAGCGCTGTTCAGCTTAAAACATGGCCTAGTAGAACACTGAATTCAGTCCTCCAAGAGTAACTAGCTACTTTCTACTCTCTTGGAAAGAACAGTAAAAACCAAAGATCAAACCTGTGAGTGTTTAAGAGGCATTTGGACAATGCCCTTAATAATATGCTTTAACTTTTGGTCAGCCCTGAAGTGGTCAGGCAGGTGGAACAGATGATTGTTATAGGTCTGTCCCAACTGAAATATTCTATGCTATTCCTTCCAAAATAAGTTAAATCCTGAGGCAAATATATGGGTAAGTATGGACAGTATCTCCAATATTTGGGGCAGAGACTACAAAGCACCTCACTAGCTATTTCAAAACCCTTTCTCTCTACCAGTTGATTTGATTTTTAATTTTACCTCATTTGCTTCTTTTTCCAGAAGAGATTTCTTATCACAGGACTTGAAAGTCTCAAAAGTGTTGGTATTATACAACGTTCCGAAAGCAGGACAGCAACGCGCTGGAATTGAAGCATTCCTGAATAAAAGAAAGAAATCTCTGGGAACTGGATACTAATACCTTTAATATGATCAGCAGCAGTAATCCTATGGTGTAAGGTTGCCCTGAAACTGTTAAATGATGAGGCACAGTAATAAAAGTTAATGATAGTTCTAATTAAAACATTTTTATGATTGTAATGCTTTATTGAATATGGATTGGTATAAGAACCTGTGCAAACACACATCTATATTATGACTTCAAAATTACATCAGGCATCTGTATTATGTCTAGCAAGGTGGCATTACATCATAGACTGAAGATTTTCAAAATCTATTCAACTATAAACTATCCATGACAAATGTCATTTTCACTAACAAAAAATTAAGATTGAACTTTAGATGTCAATATTTCATTCACATGAAGAGTTACTCAGTTCAAATTTTATGTTTAAAAGACATCCCAAAGGAAGCCTAAACCAGACAAAAGATTGAGTAGTTTTTATAGTTTGTAACATCATCAGCTGGATAAGCTGTTGTTTGTGAACAACGGTATATAATTTTTTCCCCTTTTTGAATGTAAATTAGGTTAAAAAATTACAATATTCCCTGATTTATTTCACTGACTCCTTTCACATCATTGTCTTAAACTGATGTTTCTGACCACTAAAACTCAAATACAACAAATGTTTAAGCTACATAATAAATACACATGACGTAGCTTCCAAAAATTTTTATATCTAAAAAGGAACTCTTCATGATCATCTAAACTGACTATCTAAAGCACAGAAACAGAAGCACAGAAAATTACTACAGCTGAAGGAGTAATTAAGCACTGCATAAATGGACTTCTCATAATTTTATTTTTGTCATAATATTTGAGAGATCAAATACCTGGGCACCATCTGTTTTTTCCTAATCTGAAAATCCTGTTCCCAATATCACAGCTTTCTTCCAACTGCACTTTGCTGCATACGCTTTCAGTATCATACCTAAAAGTTCTTACATAAGAATTAATGGAATGTCTTATTATTAGCTTAAAATGCACACAGCCTCACTAGGCTCCTAACATTCTCACCAAGCAAGCTAGAGAAAGTCACTTCTGCGATTTACAACTCTAATTCACCCATTTAAAACAAACAAGACACTAACTATGAAGATACCTGGTCCTATGCTACTAACGGGCATTTGCTGGAAAGGAAAAGCATGTGGAAAAAATATTTCCCCTCTCATTTTTGCTGTGTACAGAGCAGCTTTGGTTTACCTTTCACTTTGAGGGTAAAGGCAAAAGTACAAAATTCCAGTCATAAAGGTTAAATACTTTGGAAGATATTATAATGTAACAACTAGGGACTGTAAAAACTCTTTTGAGATCTTAACTCTAAGGATGAATCCTCAGCAAATAAAAATATAAGGGAGAATTTGACCAGAAGTCAGATGACTGAAATATCCTCCCTTACACGGAAGAGACAAAGAAATGGGGAAAAAATGGTATTTTATATAAACATATATACAAACAGTGAGTGAATTTGAGACTTAACAGCTTCAGATGAATATACTACCTCAGACACAGGGAGCCAATGCTTGTGACTCAAAGCAGACTCTCTACTGTCATAAAGTTCATGAAAACATGTATTTATTTTCATGTGGAATTTGCCCAAGTAATATTATATATCAAAGCGTTACTTTTATGCAAGGAAAGTGTCTTCCCATATGAATTAAGGTAAACCACAGTACGTACTTACATATCAAAGGCACTAAACTCCAAAGTCAAGCGAGCTGGCAAACCCAAAGGATCACCTGGACAAAAAGCAGCAACATGCCTCTTTTAAACTGCAATACATAGATTAGTTTGCCTCTTTCTGTTAATGAAAGTTATAAATTACCCACAGACACACCAGAATTCACAGCTCACCCAGCTGTGTCTTCTAATGTTTCAGCAAAATACCTAAAATACATTACACAAATGCTTAGATGAACGACAAGAGAAACCCAAACTACTAAGCAAGATGTTCAATTTCTACCTACCATTGTAGTAGTATCCTTTGATAACTTTTGGGGTCTCGTCCAATCGGTACTCATTGAGCTTCTTCTGGGTTAGTTCGTGCCAGAATCCTGCATCCAAGGCACTACTGAAGGGAGCAAACTGCAGCTTCGAGATTCCAGGATCTACAGGATGGTGCACCTCATTACTGGCAGTTGCCATGATTTTAGTTAATGGTCGCTGTGAAACAGAATTCTGTAAAAGCAGATATACCTGATAAGTATATACTCAATTGACCATATTACCCATGACTACACAAAGTTCTACTTCAGCTAGGCGGAACAGTCCCCTTGCTTACATTAGCAGCAGCATTCGCTTCACCATGAGGTGATTCAGCTCAATCTGTTTATTTTCTTGAAAACTCATCAAATAAAAGTGTTGCCCTCAAGAACCTCCTTTACTTACTGTTAGTATTCCTCATTCCCGTCTATACCTAAACATATTAAGATGCAAGTTTCAGACACGCAGTCCATGACACAGAGCATTCAAATATACACCTAGGAGAGGGAAGGTCCTCCTATTACACATTCCATTCTGTCTTTGACTATCTAGCTAAGATAAGCATAAATGTTGCAAAACAAGGATTTGTTACATAGCAAAAAAAAAATTTTAAAATATTAGTTTTAAAACTCCTCACAAAGATATGAGCATATGCTACTTACTGCAACACATCCATGTACCAAGCTAGTAACTGCTGTTTTCTATGTCCAGAAGGGAGATCAACAGCTATTGATTTAGGTTTTGCTCACAATGCTTATCAAATCAATCATTTGAACTCAAATACTCTTGAAATGATTCCTTCAATTAACTAATTTTAAAAAACTAGATGTTTTAATTCACACAACATACCACGTGATTGCCTTTTGTTACTGATCCTGCATAATACCCACTACCTTTACACATAGAGCGATGGTAGGTAGGATTTTACATACAGAAAAGTCAAAATAAGGTTCCTGGCACAGCTATATTACCTGACACAAATCTAAATAGATGCACTACAGTTTTTCTGTACTGCAGCTTGGATTGAATCGAACAGTTCCAAAATTATTGTCCTGTGAAGTCACTCGTGCAACAAAACAGAGCTTACATGCTTTTCTTTCATGCTTTTTTGAACAGGGGGAAGGGAACCACAGGTAGTTTTAATTTCTTAATGAACTGCCAAATAGCCAGCTCTTCTCTGAGAGAATTTCTCAATTGTGTCAAAGTTAATCTGAGAAAGACAGTTATGCTTTTCCTTACACAATACTTCCTTAAACAAAGTCTTCAGTGTACTCCAGCTATGCCTTCTATGTCCAGTTTATACAGCTTATCTCCTTCTACTGCAAATGATTTCTTTACTTGCTGGTAAGTTGTGGAATGTGGTTTTTGGGGTATAGGTTTGAGGTTTTCCATATTTTTCATGGTGAAAGCTAAACGTTTCAGTTCTATCGTAATGTCTTGTTTTAACTGGCATATTGCAAACATGCTATTCTTATTTTTTTAAACAGCAGCTGGAATTTCTGGTAGTGTGAACTTTGATAGCTTACTTGAAACACCTCTCAAATCTCTTTTTATTAACACAAAAAGATCAGTCAGTTTCTTGAAACTTTGCAAGTACTAGAACTACAAACAGCAGAACTGCATGGAATTTTCTGAACATTTTTTAAAACCTTTTTTTCTGTGTGTAAGATTTAGAAGTAGTAACACAAATCAGCAAATATTTAACTTTTACTACTACATAGGTCTTAAGCATCACAAATTTTTTTGGTTTGCAACTAAACGTCACAGAAAGTTTATCATAAAACAAGCAAACAATTGTGCATCATGTAGATGCTAGAAAGAAAAGTCAGACTGCATGGTACTTGATGCCAAGGCTTCCATAATAAAACTTCTATTCAGAGATTCAACAGCTGTCTAGTCAATATTAATCCATTAAATTCACTGTCTCCTTTTTTTCAGAAGCTTGGGAAGGTAAGATTTAACACTTTAATAAAAATTAGTAACAAAAAGCAACACAAAGTTGTTACTTTCCTTGCCAGACAAGCTCTATTATAACTAAAAGTTTACTCTTTTTGAATTTTCTTCATGCCTTTTTTTTCAACTTTTCGGACAGGTAAAGTTTTCCTTTTGCTCCCCTTCGCCCATAAGTACGTGACATATCCAACACTAAAGTGTATTGTCAAATATTTTAAATGACCAAGAAGCCAACTGACAGTACCTAGCAGTCAGTACCCAAGTAATACACACTGAAAATACCAGCCTAAAAACATCCACTTGGAATGAATTTTAACACCCTACTTATTTTCATTATTACTATACCTAAAGAGTTATTATAAAACTGAAGGAATAAAAACAGGGGGTCTCACTATCCTTATGCACATGCAAACAGAGTAGCATATACAGTCACCTCTGATGTACTGACACTTTTAAAAATATGCTTTAACGCACTTTGATGTAAATATTCACTTACATGTTTTCTTAATGCAAGATCAGTAAGCCAAGGTAAATCTGTGCAACAATTTTTAGAATACTGAAATAAAAGATGAAAAATATACATTTTGTACAACTTGCATACAGAAATTCATATACAGCCTCTAACAGTAATAACAGTCACTATGAAAATGTAATAAATAAACTATATATATATCCAAAACTTTAAATGTGGAACAAACCCCAAGTTTCAAAAAGGACTCAGTTGAAAAACGCATTTGAAGTGAAAAGATTTACCAGTGTACTTTAGACACTCCTATGTTCTACGATCGGTAGGAAATTTCAGGAACATCATCAGCAGGGATAACCCAAAGTACAGATGCACTATCACTAGCCTCAGTTCTAGCAATCGCTCTTACACATGCAGGCCTTTAAAACTGATTTAATGGAGGAATATATTAAGTGAAAAACACACCAGGCCTCTTAATACTATTTGTCTTCCCCTTGACAGACATAACTAATCTGCTGTAAAACTATGATTAGCAGTTTAATAGCACTTAAAACTACCATAAATTTACATGTTTTAAATCAAATTCACATAACCCCCTAAAATCTAGTTTTTCTACAGAACTTTTTATTCTGCAGTCCAGAGTCGAGTATTTTGAAGACCTCCTCTGTATCAAGGTGACAAAGGAAATCACTATTTCCTACCACTACACTTTCAGGAAAAGCTGCCTCTTGGCTAGTGTCCGTTATCAAGCCCAGTTCCAGGGCAGGGAAAGGCTGCCCTGTTTCTCCTAACATCGCTGACAGAACAAGGCCGCCTTTGGCGCCGGAGCCAGGCTGCTCCGCAACCTCCCCCCTCAGAGCGGGGCAGGCGCTGCTCCC